GGGTCCTTTTATTTCATTGGCTCTCCCTAAGACAAGAAAACATCCGAAGGCAAAGGAGATCATTGGGATGCTTCACTGTATCTGAATGCCATGTTGTCTGCTTCACGATATATTTCTACCGAAAAGTTTTATCGTATTTAGTGTTTGGAATTTCACCGTAAGCGATGTGTTTGTCTCTCGATAGGACACTAAGACTACTTAGTTATGTTGGTGGATGAATGTTCACAGATCGGTTACGGGACTCACACGTCCTTTTCTGCCTTGAAACTTGCTCCCGAGCCCCGTGCAGCGGCTAGTAATATTATAGAAAAAGGGAAATTGTTGACGAAAACAAGGGAAACTGTTACAGCCATTTCTGACTTATTAACCGTAATCAGCTAGCCACACCCAACCCCAGGCGGAGAACTAGCCCCCTCCCCCAAAGACCTGTTGATTAGAAATCCAACACTCTAACCATTCAGCCACGGGTTCGGTTGCCTGTTGGTTAAGGTCGTGAATATTTGTAGAACGGAACGAGTGAGTCTGATAAGCAATCCATAACCGTTCATTCAATTAAATGTGAACCAGCACCATCACCAACTATTGAATCTGGCACCACATACCTATCTATAGTACCAGTTACTGCACTCATCACAAACTTCCATATTTTCTACGATTATTGATTGATCGCCTGTATTAGAGTCGGGAAGAAGTAGATATGATGGCTGGGACATCACATCTACTTCTTCTCAATTATTTCCTGGGACCCGCATGTTACCTTATATTATATCAGAATCGTCAAGTTTGGGATGTCGCCGTGTTCAGCGAGATGTTTGAGTTGTAGCTAAAAACATCAGTCGGACAAAATTCCACGTTCCCGCAATCGAGCAGTTGTGTTGACAAGGACACAAGTAAGCTCACTAATACAGCTACCTACCCCTTTTACTTGAAACGTCTATTTGGCAAATATATGTTTTCGGCAGTTAATCATCGGGCCGGTAAAATTGCATAAGGAATGAGACATTCAGTTATTCACTATGATTCTATGGTCCTAAAAGTGTGGAGGCAGTTATCTCTTAGTTCAATTGTTTCGTATGTGTCGAATAGACTCACCAAATAGACTTTTCGAGTTAAAGATGAGAATATTTGCAGAACTATCTATTTTAGTTGATATTTTCCGTTTTCTATCTTCCCAGCGTAACCTTAAAAACAACGGAAACCAGTCTTGCGCGCAAGAGGGCTGTCTGCTTTTGCTTATATGACTTGTTGTTGTTTTTGGGGCTGATCGGTCGGGCTATTGGACGTGGGTAAATTTAGATTGTTTATTGCTTTCTACGGCCGTACGCAGAAATCTGTCGATTAAAATTGTTTTGGTTAAATCAGCCCCTGCCGTACATTCGACTGCGACGTCCAGGATTCGCGCTCTAGGTGCTCATCCATTTATGAATTCGATGATAACTATACTGCCAATCGTGTTAGATTAAAATAAAGAGAGTCGCACGAGGCAGTGATTTTCACAATGGAGTAAGAACTAGAACTGGACCTTATGAAAATATCTGCAGAATTCCGCATATTTGACATTCAAAAACATTGAAAATCCTTGCCTTTTAGCAGACAGGAGCAGACTAAAAAAATTCACATGTTCTATTCTTATATTAGCTTGAGAGGGCAGCTAAAGTCAGAGACAATCTTTGGCCGGGACGACCTTCAGACCTTGTCCCGCTTAGAAAGTGTTGAAGTTGGATAATTGGTTTAGGAATTTGGCAACCAGGCGGGAGTAGTCGTCCTGAAGGAGACTGAGGCTGTCATCATATCGCATTAAGCTAGGCTATGCCTGAGTTTGTCCTAAAGTTGACCGGTCGATTTAGGTAGTTGTGTTTGGCCAAGAACCAGGCTGTCACTAGCACGCACGTACAAGTACGCGTGAGACATCCACTACACGCTGTCGAGTGCCTGCCTGTTATGCCTCACTGCTGCAGACTCCCTTTTGACCCCCCCTAGCTTTACATTTTCGTAGACGTGTTAAGTGGGTGGTTTTTTCAAAGTTTTCTCATCCACGTTCCTTTTTTATGGAGATAACCGTTTCTCGCGCTAAATACTCCAGTTTAACTTCGAAAAGCCGCATTAGACGACGTCTATATGTCGGTAAATTTCAGAATTTGCTCTTCTCTGACCAATTAATTCTCAGACAATTCAGTCTGACTGACTATTTGGGTTGTAGTTCATTGGTCAGAGAACAACCAGATTGAGTTGGGTCCACTAGGGCCCAATTGCATGGAGATGCTTTCCTGTAGGTCCCCCGTTCGAAGGAGGGTTAATACGTCCGTAAGTGGAACCCATAAAATTGGTTTTCCAGGATTGTATCAGTCTTTTGATACCGCCGCTTTTATTTTTGGACTGGAAATAATGACGCGGGAACTGGTGTGGGAGGTATTTTGTAGTTGCTGCACCAGACTATCCATTAATTGGCAGATGAACACTGCCGAAAAAAACAAGGGAGACTTGAATGACCATTTCTGGGTTTTTAGTCATAATCAGCAAGCCATACCCAACTCCAGGTGGTGCACCACCCGAGGATCGAAAACGTGGCCTGTTAGTTAGGAGTCAAACGCCTTAACCATTTAGCCGCGGACTCGTAGTCTTGCCAATTTTGATTGAAAATATTAACCGTTTTGGATGAACGCCCACCGATCGATTATGGGACTTAGTTCTGCCGGTCTGAGTCGGGACTAACTGTCGAGCCCCGCTGGCAGCCGCATAGCACCCACTATTATTATAGACAACTCGACATTACCGCCGAAGACGAGTGGGTCCCGTTACCGATTGATGAGCGTTTATCCTCCATTATCCATTAACGGTAGCCTACATTCTTTCTTCAAACTACACGGTGGTAGGTTCTACTGTGCCCCCTAAACTAGCCGCCCGGTAGATGCGTTTGACCAACACGAGAGTCAAATCAGCCCAGGGCATGCGTTATTCTGGCTGCGTTCCTATAAAAATACCCCACATGAGGTGAGTGTTGGTGGCACGCGTTTTTGATTAGGAAAGATTCCTTAAGTATGGTTATTATTATTGATTATCATGCAAGGCAATGTAATAATATTTCGGATAGGTCAGCATGTTAACTTTTGAACGCGAGCCTTTTCGGCCGCTGAAGAGCAGTCTTCGATAAATGAAATGACGACATCAGTAGTATACCCCTTTTCTATTGCTTTTCAATGCTCTTATCAATTCAGTTACATTATATAGAAGACTTAAATAATAATTTCTCTGGATGAGTGAAGTAAGTTGCATTCCGAGATGGTATGATGAAAAAAAATCTTCGGAAAATCGAGTTGTACTCGTGAATTTTCGAACAGGTATCACATCACCGTAACCCTCCTGCCCAATCCCACTCCATTCGTTGTAACCTCTGCCCGAAAAACCCCTAGTGCGGCATTCCCAGCCCTCACTTTTCATCTAGTCTGACGACGAATAAGTGAAAAATTCACGAGTACAAATCGATTTTCCTAAGATCTTTTTTCTTTTCAATAATGTCCTTCTCAAACAAATGTTGTCGCTCAGCTTAAAAACGTTTCTGATTGGGAGCTTTTTATGACCGTATCTTACCGTATCATATCTGGTTAACTAGTGTTTAGAGAGCTATGCTCAGTGCCCCTTTATTCATCAAATCATTTAAAATAAGATATTTCAAGGCTCTTAAACGTTCTTTTTAACACAGGTGGTATTTTGGACCAGATTTGTATATGCACCCAAATTCGGAAGCTCATCGCCTAAAACAGAAAGCCTACAAAGAAGTCCTATCATAACTATGCTCATGATAAACTGAAGAACTGCTCACACCCAAACAGTTACATAACCAATGAAAATATGAGAAGTCGGCGTGTTGTGGTAATTTGGACCGAGGGAGGCAGATGGAAGGAAGGGTGTGCGCGTTTCTTAAAGCTTGACTACGCGTAGACACATCTGTGCCATCAGAGGAGTTGGGACGGCGTGCGATCATCACCTGGAGTCGACTTTGGCCAGAGAAGACAGGGAATGTACCAACATACTCTGACAACATAACCCTGGGTTCGCCAGCCTGACAGTCACTGCCTCGGCTGATGTTAGCACTCGTTGACGTAAGCCTTTAAAGAAGTTTACTGCTATCCGGTAGGTAACCTGGACGGTTTTGTTGGGATCGGCTCAGTAAACAGTATCGATTATGCGTGCACAAATAGAGCTCGAAGTCGACCTGTTTTCACGTCTACGTATCCAATTAGGTGCACATACCTCGCCTCGTTTTACGGCCAATATATCCCGCTCCATAGGAGCAAGTTAATCAGCAAATACAGCTCGATGTGGCCAGCAACGGTAGACGGTCTTTTCCTAGCACGTATAGGAGAGAAGGTTTTTTGAGGAATACGCATCAGTTCACCAGTTAGAACTTGTATTACTGGTTCGCTTGTTGCGTCCCCTATAATCGGCAGTCTTATAAACACGTCCTTCTCTTCTGCAGTTGCGTTGGTAGGCTTTGCAGTGCGCTTGCCGATATTCCACACATTAATACGCTGTATATATATAGGAAATTCGCAGCATGCATCTTGCTTTCAGCCATTTGTCATTTTTATAGCACCCTGGAGTATAAGGCCGACCATAAGAAAAAGTGAAACCATTCTAGGACGCGTTTTCCTGCTCATTTGCTCGCAAGGGTTGGGCTGAATTTAGTTGTTCTGAAGGCCTTCGCTTGCCTAAACGCGTTCTGCCGGAGAGCTTCTCGAGCAAAAAGGCTGCTGTTTGCAAACGCCTGTTATGCGATGCACACACAAAATAACTGTGATCTGAAGTTGCGAACATGTGTCAGATCCAAGATGACCAGACTTGCGTGGGACGACATTAGGATAAGGTCGTCTTCGCTCCCTGTTTTGAGAGTGCTTGAGGCAGTGAACGCCCTTGGAAGACCCGTGTGCGCATTTAAACTGAAGACTATTCTTAGCTACTCCATGACTGAGCCACCCCACTCCTTGTTTTCACCGTGCTAAATGTTTATCTCCACTTTCTATTCTCAAGGTTACTTCGCCTTCCGAAATTCGCTCTACGGTTCCTGGTTCATTCAGGCCCTAACCAACTGTCTCCAGCGCTATGGCCGCAGTCTCGACCTTATGAGCATCCTCACTCGAGTTAACCACGAAGTCGCCTACGAATTCGAGTCAATGGCTTCCAACCCAGAGTACTCAGGCAAAAAACAGGTGTCCTCCATCGTCAGCACCCTCACCAAGGATGTCTTCTTTCCACCGAAGAAACCCCCCTTGCAGTCGTGATCCCCTCTCCCTCCTCTTGTGCGACTCTTGCAATTTCTCAGGATCTGCCATCTTCAGTCCCCCATACCCTCTCCCTAACCTTTCCAGTAATGTAAGAGCAAAGCGTGACCTCTCTCTCCACCAGACATTTTTCGAAGCATACCGCCAACCACCTGTGTGGAGAGCACGCTTGTTATTTTCCTGCCCTGTCGTTTTCATAGTATCGGGTGCGCTTTTTGGCGACTCACATTTTCTCCTTCTGTAACCCTTCTGATGACCTCTGCGCCACAGGTACTTTTTTGTAGTACTCAGTAAGTGCTGGTGTTGTTTTGGCAGTGCCATTTCATGCGTCAGGGCTATATTCGCGCACATGTATGGCCCTTCTTGCTTTTCCAGACAAATCTAAACGTGCATGTTTAAGCGTATCATCTGCTTGCAGCCTTGTTTCTTTGTTTTGGCTGCGCGCGCGTGCGTGTACCTTATTTTTCTCCATTTGAGAGCCCCATAAATTTTTTACTATACTTTTTGTCTTGCTTGGTTGGGCTAAGTAGTCTTTTAGTCTGCCTTGCGTTTTTTCTAGTTATATTTTTGGCTCGAACGTTCGTCAGAGACTGAGGATAGCCACTGGTTTATACTTTACATTTGCATGTTTCGGTCGACTTACGTCTTCTATCTTCTATCTTTGAATATTGCCACCAAAATGGCTATTTATTGGCTTGTTAGTATTCCTCAGCCATCCACATCCAGCCCCAAATGTTGCAACATCTAAAGCTCGAACCCGCGAAGTGCTGACTGAAAGTCTAACGCTCCAACTACTAAAAACATTTTCTAAACCAATAGATGCCTTGTCTTCCAACATAAAATCTGAAGAAGATGTAATTTTTGTCTAGGAAATATTTCAGGGAATCTTTGGTTTGTCATCTAGCCTATCGTAGTAACTAATTTTTGCTACAGCTTCGTGAAACCGCAAATGAGAGCTAGATGGTGGGGCTGAACAAAAAAATCAAAGCAGAAACATGCACCTGCTTTACCTACCGTAGGTTGGCTATCTAGTGCAATATTAACTAAAGTTCTAAAATTCCTCATTGATTAAAAGACAATTACCTAAGTAAGTCATAATTTTTGTTGTGCAGCATACTTCCAAGACATTTCTCTCACGTCAAGACGCTGACTTTTGGACGGGCTTCTTGCCGACCGCCTGCAAAGTCTTACGTTTTGTAAAAATTGAATACTTATGTAGTAGAAGGGTTTTCTCGTTGTTTTCTAATGCTCTTGTAAATTTAAATATATTATTGCAACAATTCTTCAATATTATTCTTCCTTTCACCAATATGGTAGCAAATTACCTCTTCCGTAAATGTTATGCTTGAAGACAGGGTATCTTTTGGCTTTTAAAACGTTTTGTAATGATTAGACCGTTGGATTTATACTCGGCAGGTCGCTGGTGCGAGCTTCGGGTGGTGCATCATCTAGGATTCAGTGTGGTTGGCAAATGATGGCTAGTAAGTCAGAAATGGTCATGCCAGTATCCTCTGTCTTTGTCGGTAATATTCTTCTGCACATAATAAGACTAGCTAATATGGGGCTTTTGGCAGACTTAAAAAATGCATCTGACCCAGTGGTGAAAGTCTCGGTGGCATCAGTGGGATTTGAGGCCACGCCGACAAGGAAAAGGCTTTGGTACATTCCACGCTCTAGACAACTGAGTTATCAAGCCCTCACCGGGAGTCGTGTGTTCGAATCGCACCGAAGCCGTTCAGTTTTTCATAACGAATTTAAATGAATATTGCTAGCCGCCATGCCGCTGCAGGTAGGGCTCGAGAGTGAGCCCCCAGGCAGAACAGAAGGAGTGAGTCCTGTAACCGATCGGTGAGCGTTCGTCCGCATAGGACGGCGTTTATTTGGCGCACATGAACTTTCCTATATGTGCCGAGCTACTTCAGTAGTGTTGTCAAACGCCTCCTGGTTGCCTTCTCGGTCCACGCAGGAAAGCATGGGTGGTTATCATCACTCCCGGAATTCGAACTACAGTTTACGACGCATGTGGCACTTCGACTTAATAATAATCACCGAATAGTAATCTTCTTTCGTATCGTGTGCAGACGCTCTTGATGGTGTCCACAGTGAGAAATTTGTCTGGAGACTTTGATCTCGTTTGCAACTACCGGAAAGTGATGGCAGCTTTCTTTTATAAGAGTCAACAACTACCTGACTCATAATAGCTCATTAGACTTTATTTGCATCCCAAAATCAAACTGAGTCCATAACTTTTCAGGAGTTGAACTTTTAAAATCGAAAGCAGTCAACAGTACTGTTTGAGAGTGGCTTGCAGATCACCCTTTAACTCTGTTACAATGATGTCTTAAATATATTTTATATGCGAATTTCACCAACTTCAAATCGACGAGTATGTGCGTTACGCGGCCATTCTGCTGAAGTTGAAACTTCAGTTGAAATTCTCTTATGCATTTCAGGGGTGAATTTGAAAAGTGGCGTCTCAGTGATTCTATTCCAACTGTGCATTTTCCATTGTAAAAATAATACTTTTAACAAAAGCACAGGTATAATCTGGTATGCGGCTTGTGCATGCTCCTCTTTATACTATAATTCTCTACTTCGTAGATTTCCTGCCAAGTTCCGTAGAACTGCGCGCTCTAAATGCAGTATATTTCTGAAGTTAGTTCATATTTCAGTACAATAATGGAATTGACCTAGTGGTTTACTTGCCATCCTACGTCTTCAAACTGCATCTTTGAGAGATGTCAAGGCATAAATCGTGATTTACTTCATTTAAATGTGAAATTCGTCGAGTCGACAGAACCCTGTGGCCGACAGCCAAGCTGTTTAATCATCTGTTCCAGAGAGAAGGGTTGATAATGGCTGAGCGCTTCCTCCACAGCACTCTACCTGTGAAAAATAAAACGCCTCAAATTTTTTCGGGTTGTATGTGGCAATGATAACTGCCAGCAAAATATTCCGCGTATTATGTTGAACGAGAAAGCCTCAATTTGAATTATGCTCTAGATCATGCTTGGCATTTTCAGAAAATGTACGTTGTGAAGAAGGCTAGGATAAAAGATGCTTCTAGCTCGCCTAGGACCTGAGGCCTTCTATCCAGAGCTTGACACTAATTCCTTGATAATGCCAATAGTAAAGAATATGCAAGTTCCAGGAAGCAGTTCAAAAGAAGAGGTTACGATCACTGGAGCAAGAGTTTTTTGCCTGAAGTTTCGGATTCCGTCGGGAATTCTTAATCATAGGTGATAGTAACATAGTCATGGTCATGCGTATATAGGATTGAAACATGCACAGGTTGCACGGTATTTATAGTTCACAGTGGTCATCCGCGTGTGTGTGATAATTATTCACTTCTGTCGCCACCGCTTAGGTCTTAATTGATGCAGTACTGGCTTGACACTTCGCGTTCGACTCACTAATTGCCACAATTGTCTTGGCAGCGTCGGGTGCGGGCCTGATAATTGCGGGCAATTGTGGACAAAGCAACTACGTCGGAGAAACCGGAAGATTTCTCCGCATGCAAATGGAAGAACAGGCAGTG